AGAGCCCGCAGGGCGAAATTTCGTCCGTTTCGCTCTATTATTAACCGTTTAGGCGCCACACGGAGTTTTAGACGAAACAAGCGAAAAAATGTACAACCATGCATGCTTAGTCGAAGTGACGGGAAGTTGACGGGCCGGAGGCCCGTATCCTTGTGTTCATTTTTGCGCTACCCGACTCGGGTGTCAGCGCCGCAGGCCTAGGTAGATGTATGCCAGGCGCGTCGCAGCGCAACAGTGTTTCGTGAGATATCGCGAAGCCTGTTACGCGAGACGTGGTCTGGCGTACATCTACCTAGTTTTAATACTAAAATTGGGCGATGGTAAATTATTAATAACAGATTATGCGATATTCTAAATTCTTGCTCTCTAGTGAGCGAAAAAAAATTCGTGCACCACTCTCTCTTGCTCTCGCGCTCTGGAGTGCGGGAATCCTCGCTACAGTATTTCTAGTGTGTCGTATTGTGAACTCTCATGGGCCTTAAACCGCTTCGCGCCCTCCTTCCAATAGGGTGTTCCAGGCAATCAAAAACTAAAGTAGGAAAAGAACAAACTCACTGACGTTTTTGTTTCCGTTGGTCGAGCTTATCACGTGCCTTCGAGGCCTTTCAGGTATGAGAAGCTGTCGGATCTGTTTCGGGCTCTCCTCCATATTGAAGAGGTTAGGATCGGCCCGAACTGCCAGGGTACTTTCTCATACTGGGCGGACGGAAACAGATAAATCAGTGAGTTTGATCTTTTTCACTCCCGTTTGTGATAGCCTGGAACACCCTATTGAAATTAACTGACTATCTGTAATCACGATATCCTAAAAACGGTTAGAGCTAGGAGGCTCAAATTTTTATTGTAACTTTGTATCTTACAAAGCAAGAACTGTATTGATCTTGAGCCATCTTGCTCAAAAGTTGGCCGGGTACGGGCAAGTAAACAGATTTCGAAAATATTGATAATTTTCAATCATTCATACAGCTTCCTAGGGGGAACTCTACCAAGTAGAAACCAGAAGCCCACGATTTTGTCCGTTTGGCTCTATCTCTTAGCGCGTTTAAGCGCCAGGGGGTGTTTACCACATGTAAATGACCCTAATCCATTTTAACGTTTTTTCTCAGATACTTGGTAGTCTCTGATGGAGTAACTCGTCAAAATAAAACACTAGGGGGCAAAATTAGGGACATTTTAGGCCGAAGGCCTACTTACGAATCTACCTTTTGCCCCATTCGGGTGTCAACGCCACAGTCCTCGGTAGATGTATGCCAGGTGCGTCGCAGCGTAACCATGTTTCATGAGATACCGTCAACTTAAACAGGAGAACTGGAGGAGTTCATCCCATTCCAGCTATTTCGGAGAGGTTGTGTTCAAAAGTAAGTTGGTGTGAGAGAACGGAATCCCCATAGCTTAAAGACTTTAAGTACTCGTACGTGTCACAACTCGTTCTGGACAAATCACAGATGGTATGAGCTACTTCAAGAATGTTTCTTACGAAATTAAAGATTTCTAAAATTCATTAATATGTATTTTCGTTTTGTTTGTGTTGAAATTTTACAGAAATAATTGTTGAAAGATGTCTTCAAGTACCTTTTTCTGAACTCATATGATGCTGTCCATCTCCCTACCTGACCGTATGCATGCCCGTACAAAAATAAGGAGATCTAGGTCGTCTCCGTTGGAGACGTTGTCAAGACTGAGTAGCCGAACTTAGACAACACGGAGACGGTAGAGACGACCTCGAGACGTGGCCGTTTAGTCTCCAGTTGCGCCTCAGTCAGGTCTCGTTTGCGATCCCGCTAAGAGACAGCGCCGAGCTATCGCCTGGAGACAATAGGGTATCCCTCTAGAGCGCGGGGCGGAACTAAGAAGAACAAAAGCGAATACAGAGAGCGGTCGAACCTTTACCCCCACTACCGGCAAGACGTAGAGGCGGGAATCTCTCGACCAATCGTGAACGTTTATGTTCTATCCGCTCTTCTTCCTCCGTTAGTCGAAACACACTATTCCGCTCCGTGCTCTAGAGGGATACCCTATTTGATACATCGACATAAAGGCGACAACGATAAGCGCCGCCGCAGCAGGCTGGGTCGACATACCGACCTCCAGCCTGCTGAGCGGAGGCGTTGACCACTGGGTCAGAGTGATCACTGATGGCGAGCTGTGCTGGTCGCTGCTACTAGCAGACTCGCTCGGCAACCGAGGCCGGCAGCAACGTCGGAGCGGCTAGTGGCAGACTGGAGTAAGTACTGGTGGAGAGGCAGCGGAGGCCTATTCTTCTGTCTTCAAGTGAAGCCGGCCTCAAGCACATTTTATTGCCCCCTATACCCTACCTTCGGCAGCGGCCGAGCGGCCGCTCGGGTGGACTTGGTCCAGGGTATTGGGGGGTCGCCGAGAAGAGCAGTGGCCATGCGGGGCGTGGCGTGGCGTAGTGTGAAGATGCATCGCGCGCTCGGCTGGCGTTCGGCGGAGCCGAGGGCAATAAGGTATTGGCATCTTCGGCGGGTATAGCGTGGCGGGGGAGGCGCGCCCAGTGCAATAGGGTATTCCGCTACAACACAATCGGAACCTAAAGAAGAAAAGCATGACTACCCGATCTGTTTCCTCCTGAACGCTGATTGGCCAAAGATGGCGTGGCTGTGGCGGTCAGCCAATGAGCGCGCAGAGGGAAACAGATCGAGCAGTCATGATTTCCTTCCTTAGGTTCCGGTTGGCTTGCAGCGGAATACCCTATAGTTTTGGCACGGTCCGCGACTGCAGCCGGACACTGTCTGAGCGCGCGCGCTCCGCACACAGAGCTGGAGCGAGCTTCACGTTTTTATGGTCGCTTCCTCTCCACCAGTACTTAGTCCAGTAGTGGCAGTCGCCAGTGCATCTCGCGGGGCACATACTATATATTTCAGGAACGAGAGGGCAACGTGAAGCTATGAAATGGTCCGCTTAATGAAATTTGTTTCAGGGACCGTACACCATCGTGCCTGAATTAGCTGAGCCGTGCCCTAAAGATCTAATGGGTTTACCATGGGACCTCGACGTCAAGTTCGTTAGGGATCGAAGTAACCCAAACATTTTCTTCGTAACGCTAAATTGGGCTGGACAGTTTGTTTTTGACGACCACAAGGAAGTAAGTACGTGTGCTTGACGGTGATACATATAATGTGTACACTGTAAACAAAAATATGCTACTGACGAACTTCTGTTTCTTCTTTGAGGCTATTTATTTCTTTATTTGCTTTATCCAAGTCTTGACATAAGATGGTAGAGTTAAAGGGGGCAGTCCTGTCTGTTGCACGGGTTTGGGAGATTATTTATTAAACCTGGGCAGGAAAATGGATGAACGACCCTCTGACAAAGAATTTCGCTAGAATTCGATGTAAGGTAAAGGAGTGTAACCCTCCGGGAACATGGTCTTCTAATCGGCCTGAACCACACCGGTACTCTTCTTCGTAGCCGTGGCGTGTTCGATTCCGGCCGAACGTTTAGACCTGCGGCGAAGTGACAAATATAGTCAATCACTTTTCAAAGATGCCTCGATGGCGTGACGGGAGCACAACGAACACTTTCCAGTGAAGTTCCAGGTTATTTCCGGAAAAATTCTCGGTGTCCTCTGGCGCATGCGCAGAGCACAAGTTCGCGAACTTTCGTGTTTTACTCATTTCGTATTTTTGATAGTTTGTCAGACTAGATTAAAAGGTAGAAATAAGTTGGGCCGTACTCAGATTTGTTTCAGTTCTAGTTTTGCCGTAATAATTTCCTCAAATACGCGTTTTTTCATCGAAATTTCGTACATACCCTAAAAATATAAAGCGGGGATAGCGCACTGGAAAGTTATTTCCCAAACCAAGCGAGGACCTCACGGACAACTACTTGCTGTGAGTAATTCTTTAAAAGATAGGTGTTCATAAAAAGGAATGTGTGTTGCTCTGACTCCTAACTACTAGCTATATGTACGGTGGACCACGTCTCGCGTAACAGGCTTCGCGATATCTCACGAAACACTGTTACGCTGCGACGCGCCTGGCGCACACATAGCTAGGCCTGCCAGCCCCCAAATTTGACATGCTCACAGCATTTGAAGGGGACTTATTACTCCATAAGTAGGGAGGTGACGTGAAACTTTTGCTGTTCGATAATGGTTTCCATTAAAGGTTCGCATTTTGTCAAAGTCTTATTGGCTGAGCGATAAGCGAAGTTCATTACTCCGCTGACCGAAAAAGTTTCATTCTGCTTGTCTGTCTGTTTTTCTGTCCGCACGATAACTCGAGAAATAAAAAAGCATTCCGGTAAACCTGAAATGTAGAAGAATGCGGGGAACAAGAAAACGGAAGTCACCATACTAGAGCATAGTGATTTCCGTTTTCTTGTTCCCCGCATTATTCTGCATTTCTGCTTTACCGGAATGCTTTATTGAGAGAGCGATCTGGGAATTTCAGGGTCGTTTTGTATCATATAAAGACAGATCGAGTTCGGAGATGAGCATAGACCATTTCACCCGAGCGCTTTTCGACCTCTCGAAGAACAAAAATACCTGAAGTCAGGGTAAAGTGTCTCACGAAATAGAGGTTTGTCGTCAATGCAACCGACAATCTACTCTTCTCCGACCTAAATTTAGTCAAAAATATATTCTTACGGCACACACCGCTTCAATCAAACGTGTTTAACGGCTAGGAACGTTTCATATACTGCCTGACTTCCGGTATTTTTGTTCTTCGAGAGGTCGAAAAGCGCTGGGGTGAAATGGTCTATTCCAGATCAAATATTGACTCTAAAAAGAAATCAAAAACCACAGGTTGCAAAATATATTTTTTTCCAAATATTTTTTAACGGGTTCCTAAGAGGTAACTCGTGAAAGTATAACCCCTCGGGCGAAAATGTCGTCTGTTTTGCTATATCTTGTACAATTTCCGCGCTATGAGGCATCTCTTGGCGAAAACAACGCAAAGACAAAATGGTCTATTAAATCGTAAAGAAGGCTTTGTCACAGAATTGTAAGGGGAGTAATACTTATAACAAACATTACGGGTCGAACCACACCCTCTTTTGGGATTAAGGGTCCCTACAGACAAGGTAGATGTACGCCAGACCACGTGTCGCGTAACAGGCTTCGCGATATCTCACGCAACAATGTTACGCTGCGACGCACCTGGAATACACCTACCTTGGCCTGCGGCGTTGACACCCGAGACGGGTAGTGCCAAAATGCAGTCAAAAATACCAGCCTCCGGCCCGTCAACGGCCCGTCACTTCGACTAAGCCTGCAGGATTGAAGATTTTTTTCTTTTATTTTCGTCAAAAACACCCTCTAGGGCCTCAACGGTTTGAGCTAGAGCATAGGGCTCTACTTTAATGAATTACCTCCTAGGGTACCATAAAAAAAAATTCAAAAGACGTCATGTTTGGAACCCGTTGTTTTTTTTTTTGTTTTTTTTTTTAAATCCAATTTTTGAGCTAGAATGCTCATCTTCGAACTCGATCTGTCTTTTTATACTTAAACGACCCTGGAAATCCCAGGTCGCTAGCTCAAAAGGGTATTCCGCTAAAACACAATCGGAACCTAAAGAAGGAAAGCATGACTACCCGATTCTGTTTCCCCCTTAACGCTAATTGGCCAAAGATGGCGTAGCTGTGGCGGTCAGCCAATGAGCGCGGAGAGGGAAACAGATCGAGCCCTCATGCTTTTCTTCTTTAGGTTCCGGTTGGCTTGCAGCGGAATACCCTATAGGGTATTCCAATGGAGCGCAGAGCGGAAGCAAGAAGAACAAAAACGGGAGGTGGAAAGGCGCCCGCACTCCTTCCCGCCTGCCGCCCTCTCCTTCCCGGGCGCTCCCCCACTCCGTCTAGTAGGGGAGAGGGGGACGGCACGGGCGCCTTTCTACCTTCCGTTTTTGTTCTTCTTACTACCGCTCCGCGCTCCATTGGAATACCCTATTCACTTTCGAGTTATCGTGCGGACAGACACACACATAGACAGACAGACAAAGTGTTTTCCGACCAGACGGAGTAATAGGCCTCGCTAATCGCTCAGCCAATAGCAAGGTAGATGTACGCCAGACCACGTCTCGCGTAACAGGCTTCGCGATATCTTACGAAACACGGTCACGCTGCGACGCGCCTGGCATACATCTACCTTGCCCTGCGGCGCTGACACCCGAGTTCGGTAGCGGAAAAATGTACACAAAGACACGGGCCTACGGCCCGTCAACGGCCCATCACCTCGACTAAGCATGCAGGATTGTACATATAGCTAGTTACAGGATCGAATTTTGACAGATGCTGTAAAAATCAACGTTTTAGTGATACTAGATAATCTAGGGGCCCTTAAGCCCATAAGAGGGTGTGGTTTGACCCGTAATGTGTGGTTCAAGTATTACTCACTTTCCAATTCTGTTACATGAAGCTTTTTTTACGATTTAATAGACCATTTGGTGTTTTGCATTTTGTTTTCGCCAAGAAATGCCCCCTAGCACCCAAACGGTACAAAATAGAGCAAAACGTACGAAATGTTTGGTCAAGGGGATCTACTTTGACTATTTACCCGTTAGGAAAACCTAGAAAAATTCCTTTTGGGGAAATTTTTGAACCTTGGATTTACACATTTACACCCTTAGGGGTGGTTGTCAGGATTTGCCGTAAGCGTTTCGTTCTCTCGGAGTTGACCTTAAGATGGCCTGAAAATTTGAAGTCTCTAACACATCTTCTTCTAGTGGAACAGACAGACACACAGACACACACAAGGTCGTTCGCATAAGCCCTATGGATAGCTTTTTCAAAGCAGAAGGGCGGGCTAATAAAAGTATTCTAACCTTCAAATTTAATATAAAAAATTTAGAACAAATCTCTGTACTGCAGTTGGCGATTCCTCTGGCGAGCTGGCAAAGTTGAAAGCAATGAGAGCATTGTGGAAACATCGTGCTTGTTAGGGTGGGCCTCTAATGAAACCAGGATCATATAACCGATCACCCATCATTTCAGATTTTGCTGTTATTGATGCAGCCCGATTTGCTAAACGGAAATTGGGAGTGAAGCAATGCAATTACTACATTTTCACAAATTTTGTGGGCACTAGGCTGCCTGTATGAGGAACCCATCTGTACCGATTTTTTAGCCCGCCCTTCTGCTTTGAAAAAGCTATCCAGCGGGCTTATGCGAACGACCTCGTGTCTGTCTGTTCCTCTAGAAGATGTACTAGAGACTTCAAATTTTCAGGGTATCTTAAGGTCCACTCCTAGAGAATGAAACGCTTACGGCTAATCCTGGCAACCACCTCTAAGGGTGTGAATGGAGGTATCCAAGGCTCAAATATATTTCAAATCAATATTTCAATATTGGTCAATATTGGATTTCCAAATATTGACTTCAGGATTTCCAAATATTGACTTCAATGTTTTAAAATATTGATACTAAAGTCAATATATTGAAAAACCGCCCACCCCTTGTAGAGGTTCGTTGGAGTTTTGTTCTATATTCTTTACGTCTTCTGTTATTTTAATGCACTTTTCTTAGCTACCCCGTGCATAATTTTAACGCACGGGGCCCTACGTACTTTTATTGTTTTACCTCATTTATTTTTGGGTGTAATTTAAAACTCAATATACAATTTTGGTTTAAATATTTTTGTGGCATAAATTTCTGCGGGCCAAAGGTCCCTCTTGGTCAAATGGCATTGGGTGGAGTGCACTGGGTGAAATGACTCGGGGCTAATGTTACTGGGCCGAATGGTTTTGGGTGAAACGAGTAGGGTGTTCCAGGTAATCTAAAACGGAAGTAGGAAATGAACAAACTCACTGACCTTTCTGTTTACGTAAGGACTCTGATTGGTGAAGCTAATCACGTGCCTCCGCGGCCTTTCAGGTATGAGAAACTGTCTGTTCAGCTCCCCTCCATATTTGAGAGGTTAGGATCGGACCATACTACCATGGTAGTTTCTCATACTGGGCGGACGGAAACAAATAAATCAGTGAGTTTGTTCTTTTTCACTTCCGTTTTAAATAGTCTGGGACACCCTATTTGGTGAAACGTCCTGACGCCTGGAGCTGACTTAAGTGGAACACCCTTTTACAGGCCCATGCGGTTATGGCTTCGTGGGACACAAGAGGAGGTTGGAAGGAGAACGCATTAGTTATGAAGTTCAAGAAGCTGTGTGCCACGTTCAAGACATACATGCCGGACTCATGGAGAGAGATGATGAGGCTTCTCACAAGTAACGTCACTATCACAGTGCGCGATTGCCCATTTCCACCGGTATGTTGCTCTATACTAGTCTGTTTTAAAAAGAATACCAAGTGCATATTCGTTCGGGTGTAGCGTCCTCGTTCGACTTTCGAATTGAAAAAAAGAGCCCCCTCACTTCAAGTCGTTTTCGCTGGAGTTCCCGAAATCGATCTTGTTTTTCCACTGAGACCAGAACACATGTTTCAAATACATCGATAAATATACATATTAAAAATATTTTCTATCGTGGACCTGCCATTCACTGCAAAATTCTTGCAAAGAACTTTGAAGCGTTGTTTTGCAAGCGGTAGTTTCCATTACAAACTATTTTCTTTGCGTCTTCGTAGGTTGCGAAGAAACAGTTAGCAAATTTAGGTTAGATTGATGATGGTAACGTTAGGGTTTCGCTAGCCTTGAGACCAGAGTTCGGAAAAACGTCCCAGTGCGACCGACCACTTCAACCACGCGTGGTGGCCTGTGTCGCGCTGCTCTATGCCACTCTTCTTGACTTGGATCGGTCGCTGATTGCGATGTCATCGTCGGTATCACACTAAATATGCACCACGGGGCCGGCTCAGCCAATCCGAGCCCGCCGCCACGTTCAACCATGGGCCGCTGTTAGCCACGGCAGGTGCGTCAAGCGGCGAGGAGTGCGTTGACCCATGATAGAAGGGCGCCCTGGAGAAGAAGCTTAACCCCAGCCGGAGCGTGCGCCGCGGGACGGGGGACCAGCCTGTGAGCGCAAATGAAGACGTACGGCCTTTTGTAAACGTGCGCCAGAATGGCGAAGGACTGACGCGTCGGCTCATGTAACTGTCATACCTGTACGTTCAAAAGTAAAGGCGCAGAGGCCCGCCTAAGGGCGCGCGCGGCCCGCGCCGGGGGCTCCGGCAAGGCTGCCTGGCTGATGGCTGGCCGGCGGAGCGGCGCTGGGCCGGGCGGGCGATGCGCAGTCGACCGCTGCGCTCCCCCTCCACCGGTCTGCGCAGCTTCTTCTCCAGGGCGCCCTTCTCTCATGGTTGACCACACGAGCCGCTAGTCGGAGGCAGGCAGTGACCAAACCGGTGGGCACGATGGTCGGTCGCAGTGGGATGATTTTGCTCCAAAGGTGCTGTAGGCATCGCGGGGACTCGAAGTCGTCCAATTCGTGACGCGTCAATGAGGATGGCGACTGAAACTTTCGGCCGCCAGGATCGCTAGTGGCACTGGTCCCCTAGCGCGCCGCCGGCCGGGCGGAGCGTGTGTGAGCATAAACTAAAATTGCATTCTTGGGTACTTAACTCAAACGAAGTACATCGACCATTACATCAAAATAAAGGTGAAAGTGTGAGGATTACTACGGTATAGTTCCTTGTGTGATTGAAGGCCTTGTACTCGATCAGGGCCGTTTGGCAAAATGGGCTGTTTTCCGAAATCACAAGAGCTTTTTCAACCCGTATTTTCTCATGCAAGGAGACGAGCTATCAACCTACATGAAGCGAGCCGATTTTCCGTCTGACTTTAAACTTTACATTCCTTTTTGCCGCACTTTGATACGACTTCTGGTTTTCGAGAACGAAGCTCATATCTGCGCGCATGTCGGGCCGGCCGCCCGGCCCGGGCGGGCGCGACCCATAGTGGCCCATAGCGTCCAGCCGCAGACGGCTGCAGCCCGGCCCGACATGCGCGTGGAGATGAGCTTCGTTCTCGAAAACCAGAAGTCGTATCAAAGTGCGGCAAAAAGGAATGTAAAGTTTAAAGTCAGACGGAAAATCGGCTCGCTTCATGTAGGTTGATAGCTCGTCTCCTTGCATGAGAAAATACGGGTTGAAAAAGCTCTTGTGATTTCGGAAAACAGCCCATTTTGCCAAACGGCCCTGATCGAGTACAAGGCCTTCAATCACACAAGGAACTATACCGTTGTAATCCTCACACTTTCACCTTTATTTTGATGTAATGGTCGATGTACTTTGTTTGAGTTAAGTACCCAAGAATGCAATTTTAGTTTATGCTCACACACGCTCCGCCCGGCCGGCGGCGCGCTAGGGGACCAGTGCCACTAGCGATCCTGGCGGCCGAAAGTTTCAGTCGCCATCCTCATTGAAGGACTTTGTTTTTCTGGTTCAGCCGCTGGCCCAACTCGCCGCGCCCCGCCACGTGTCGAGGGGCCTCGTGTTGCTGCTGACCGTTGTACTGCCGGTGGTCGCTGCTGCTCATTGTCAGCCCGCACGCCAGCTCGGCTGTTGCTCTCGCCTGCAGCCCGTATAGCTTCTCGACCATCGCCAAACATCTGGTTCAGGCAGACCCTCTCAACTGGCTCCGGGGGTGGGACCACTTCGGCGTCGCGGTTGCGGTTGTTTTGGTCATTGTTCCTCCGGCTCCGCCTCGTCCGCCTCCTCGCCCGCCGCCGAAGCCGCCCCTTCGGCCGCCGCCTCTTTCCCCGACATAGGAATCATCGGTCCCTGTGGCACACATTTCAATATGGAACCATGTACGTCTTGTACTCCATGTGACACATGCAGGCACTCACAGGTTGCAGTCTGTTGCCGCATGGGGACAGCCGGTTGTGGAGGTGGCGATGGTGGTCCAGGGCCTGGGGAAGAACAGCCTACGGCTGATCTAGCTGGGCATAATTGCGCATAGGCTGATCCAGCTGGGGATAATCGGGCTGATGACACTTGTTATTTCGGTGAGGATATGAGGCACATCTGTTTTAGTAGTCGACACTTGAATTTTAAGTGTGTTCACTTCGGACGGGTTTTTCTAACTAGGGCCATGTCAACGGAAATCGTGTTGGGATCGTGTGTTCTTCATTTTCTTGTTCGTAATACACAATAATTACGCCATAAATGTCTGCATCGAGCACCAGGTGCCAATCGTGTGCCGAACGATAGAGTTTATGTTCAGTGCCACATTTGTGTACAGCATTTCCCCTGTTACCCTTGGGCCATGAAGTTGAGGCACAGAGAGGCAGGGGATGGATTATATTGTGAGGGCTATCTGATAGCTGTGGCTCTCGAATTATGTTATGTGTGGTATGTTAAGTAAGTTATGAAAGGTCCCAATATTTAAATATGCAAACACTTAGTAATACAAATTTACCATACCATAGGCGGTCCATTCAGTGCAAGAAGATCATGAGGATGCAGCTGACTGTCCTCTTACTCACCAAGAAGTCAGATAGGATCTGCCGAGTGCGATTGAAGACACCAGCCTTTGAGAGCATGTTTGATCTTCTGCATCTGTTAAATGAGCAGGACAGAGAGTTATTTTTGCAGTTGATGGAGAACATCAGGATGTTGCCCACATGTAAACCAGGACCAGTCAGCCCGCTGACACAACTCCACAATGTCAGACAACAAACTTTCCTGGTGGAAGTCTTCGCCACATATCACTGAAAATAGCCTGGCATTTATTTCAGGTGGATAGAATGATGATGATTGTGAAACAAAAAGTACAGCACTATTTCTTTCTGTTGTGGTGAGATCTTGAACACACGCTGCACAGTCCACTAAATTCAATTTTTTGAGAACACCATGCAAGGGACAGGCTGAACCCTGTGCCTGCAGCGAAACAGCACGATGATCTTCATCACTTGTGACTGGCCGATTTCCTCGGACCAGGGAGGGCTCAGTGTTTTCCCCACTCTGCTCTGTGCTTCCCTCCTGAAGCACAGAGTACGGAAGTCACCAAGTAGGAAGGAATCATCATCTGCACAGTTTTTGTCGCTGGCTTTGCTAGAGAAGCGAGTGATGAGGCAGGTTTTGAGAGCTGCTGTGAACTGCGTTGTAGTCACCTCAGTGCTGGAGCAACAGCACTGACGGATGGAGCAGAAGAAATTCTCTACAGCATCTTGATTCAGATTTCGTAGTCGCAATGATTTTACTTTTGCTCTCTGCAGTTGCTGTTTAATCCACTGCGTAGCCCTGACAGACTTTTCCACCCCTTGTCATATGGAGGAACACGGCGAGTCTTATTAGACTTCCGAATGTAGACCTTATTCTTGTAGGTTTTTAAACATTTCAGACCACTTCGTATGATGAATGGATTTTGGACTCACATTAACCCTGTTCTTTTCCAGATTTCTTCCCACTCGGTCCATTTGATCGCGGCGTGTATGCTGATGTTTTGAGTTGTATTTGGTTTTTGTATCTGACGTTGAAATCAGGCCGTTCGGATCAACTCGGAATCTGTTATTGCATATCGGTTGCTACAACGACGTGTGTCTCGTCGAGTCGCCCCCCCCCCCCTCCTGTGCCCGTATGAAGTGCAAATAAAACTACATTAAAACTAATAAAAATATCAAGATGCATTCCACAACACGGGGAACTTGCTCCGCGCGCGGACTAGCCCATCCCACCCCAAAAAAGTTTTCGAGGTACGGAGCATAAATTGTAGTTTTGACCTGAAAAAGACCGTGTGCAAAGTCCGGGCCCTGTGCGACAACGTTTACCCGGATCGCATTGCGATTTTCGTTTTGGCACAACCTTGGCGCCAAACAGGTCGACCATCTTGTAGGCACTGCACTGCGCGCACGGTGGGGCCAGGGCGAACGACTCGGCTGAAAGTGTTACCCTATGGGTCCTACTTTGTATCAGATATGAAGGATCCGAACTCCCGACACACACGTCGTGTCCAGGGGCCTAAATGTTCGCCCGACGTCACTCGCCATTTACAGAAAATAATGCCGACGTAGCCCTAACTTTTTATTACATGAAAACCGAGGGCACACTTAGACCTTTCAGAATCAATAATGTCTGCGGGGTAGCGGTGACGCTTTCACTAGAGAAAGTTTGAAAAACATGTATTTGCGCCTGTGGTGACGTCACTTAGCCTGCCCGCACTACACGTCTGTAGTGCACAGAAGCCTAGTACACAGGCGTTTTGGACTTTTTTTGCCTTTTCTATTGAACGCGTCACCGCTACCCCGCA